CAGGTTTGTTGGTTGTGAGCGCTGTGCCTTGCTTTTTTTCTGCCTCTGAAACTTCTGAAACTCTGTTTCAGAAAAAACTTTTTTTTCTGCCTCTGAAAGCCTCCGAAACGGAAGCTCTGTTTCTGAGGCTTTTTTTTCCTGAAGCTTTCTGAGGCTTTTTTCAGTCTCTGAAACCTCTGTTTGAGACGCTGGGTGGGGCTACATTCGGAGTATAAGACACACCCTCTCTTTTGGGGGAAAAAAGTTGTGTCTTATACTCCGAAAAAAAACAGTAGTTTCCTTTCTTGTTTAATAAGGATTTCCTGTGGTCATTTGTGCATTGTCAAAAAAGAAGGAGAGAATGCTTGTATACGGAAATGCATAAAAATGTGTCCATGCTAGTTTACCTATTAATTGCAAGTGTAGAAATTATTTTAATTTAGGGAGAAGCAAAATACATCACAATAGAGTGAGGAAGACTGACCAGGTGGCTAGCTACATTCTGCTATTTGGGAAAAGCAGGAAGCTGAGAAGTGACATCTTATTTAGTGCTGTGGCAAAGGAATAAAGGAGATTCAGCAGAGTGCCTTTCTTTCTCCTCTGCAGCACCAGCCCAAGTGCATCAGTAAGCACAGCTGCAGCAGATGTCTGTACCTGCCCAGTGTATTACCAAGAAACTCATGACTGTTCATAGCCCCCAATCTCCCATCTCATTATTCTTTCTTTAAACCATGGGTATCAAACTTGCGGCATCACGTTGCCATCATGTCATGTTTCATATCATTTTTTCCCTTCATGGAGCTGTGGTGGGTGTGGCCTGTGCATGATACATCCAGCCTGTGCATGATACATCCAGCCTGCGGGACAACAGTTTGACACCCCTGCTTTAAACCATAGATTGTGAAGCTCTTTAAAGAACTGTCTTCAGTGAACTAGGGCACCTGGCCAGTCCATGGAAGGATGGCATCTTGCAATTAGGTTTTTTTTTTTTTAAACATAAAATTATTTTGCTTCTTTTCACTGCTTGTAGCTCTTGCCAACTCAGCCTTCCCACTAAAATCTATAAATATCAAGAAAGCAATTACTATATATTTTTTTAAATAAGTTAGATTTGGTCTCATTTGAGAAGCATGTTTCCCCCACCTGCTAAATGGCTAGCTAGAAATATAGATTGTAACCACACATATTTTCACTTGAAAGTGACAATTTTACATAAAACATAAGCAAGAATACGGCATGGAATCCAGATGACAAATAATTCTAATTCTAAATTTGCTTCCTTGTGAACTCGGTGCAATAGATTTTCTTTAATATGGTTCTTCACCGCATGTTTAAACATGTGCACTGTAACCTTTGATTTAATTTCCTAGAATCTATTACCTTCAGCTTAAAAAGGCAGTGAACTGAATCAATACTTCTGCTAACTTGAAAAAAAGGATTTGAATGATTCAATTGTTTTGACTCTCTTCAAAAAATTTATAGAGTATTGTTTCTAAATATTTTGCTAGGCAGAAGTGTGTGTGACTGTGTGTGTGTTGCTACTTTATTTTATATTATACATTATTATTTGAGGGTGCTGCCTCTCGAGTCTCACTCTTCTATAAGTTGCAAATATTTAGGCTAATAGGTAGCTCTGTTTGTCTTCACTTTGAGTTCTCCATGGGTTCAGCCAAATGGCTGAATGGGGTTTCATTGTTGTTGTACTGTTGCTTTACTGTAATTCAGATTTGATCTGATCTGAAAAAAAGATCTGGAGACTTGTAATGTTTATTTATCATTTGACAGTTATTTCCATTAGGCTAATAAAATAATTTATTTTTCCTGATACCTCATGTTCCTAACAATCCTTATTATAAAATGTGCAGCCTGGACCCAAAGTTTCCTTTCCCACTGCCTGTTGAGATCCAGTGTCCTTTTATTAGAAATTAGGAACTTTACCCCAATGTCATCTCAGTTTATACTGATTTTTATGAAGGCTAACTGGTACACATTTCTCACATGTGGATAAATTTTCAGTCCGTTAGAATTGCCAAATCCTGAATATTGTTTTTCTAATAACAGCATTGAAATTGCTGATTCCCAGAACCACTTTTACAAAGTTGTAGGGTGAGAGACTACATAAAGATAAATTGAAAACTGTCATATCTATAAAAATGATGGAAATAGAATCAAGAAGCAAATGTGCCTGAAATCTCCATAAAACAGTATTTTAAAATGGCATAAAAGTGCAAGCAATTTATATCGGAACTCATAAAATATTTCCAATATGCTACAAAGTTCATGTATCAAGTTTTATCATGTGTATAAATTAGAAATAACAATATAGTTTCAATGAGAATGGCAATCTTGGGGTGAAAAGAGTCCTTGCACTTTTGCTAATATTATTTTATGCAATTGTTCTAGATTCTGTGGATAGTGTTATAAGTAAATAGATGCCTGAACCCAATTGTGCTGGCAATACCCAATTAATAAATTCTTTTGATTGAAAGTTTTGAAAGAAATTTGACAATCACTATGAATCTTTCCCAGTCAATTCTGCTATTAAACTATAATCCATATTTTCAAAGATATACAGCCCTATGGAAGTGATTTAATGCTTCTTGTTGACTGCTACAGTACATATACTATCACAAAGCAAAGGAATTATATATATATTTATCTTCTACTCTGTTGTAGCCTGTTCCGAATCCTCGGATTGGAGCAAACTGTAAAAACTGTAAAAACAAACCAACTGAAAATTTTCATTGACTCAGTGGCATTTTAAAAATGTGTGAAATTACTGTGGCTGAAAAATTAATATAACAACAAAGAACTCTGAAATATTCATTGAATGAAAGACCATAGCATAACAGAATCATAGCACTGAAAATAATCTTAGAAATCATCTCAAATCATCAATCAACAATCATGAATCAACCAGCACAGGATTCATCAGAGTATTTCTTACTGATGATCATCCAACGTCTGATTGAAAATCTTTAATGAAGGAAAACTCATGTTTTATGCAGCAGCTTTTTGCACTGACGGATAACTCAGCAAGTCCCAGCAATCTAAAATGAACAGGGTTATCAGTGCTTGTAACATAGATGTTTGTGTGGGTAAGGTTATCAACCTTGCTGTCAAGCAAAACCAAGCATTTAATAGTGAGTGCCATACCATGTGCACTAATCAAACAGGTGGCAAAAAATGTAGGGGCAGTCAGGCACAACACAGGTTATGTAGACAGTAAACACAGGGTGAATCAAAATGGACTCAAATGTCTATACACCAATGCACAGAGTATGCAGAGTATGCAGAGTATGAGGAATGCTTTTACTGCATCATCTTTTAAGATTTTGAATAGCTCAGCTGGAATACTGTTTCCTCCACTAGCTTTGTTGTTGCTCAAATTTCCTAAGGCCCATTTGATTTCACATTCTAGGATATCTGGCTCAAGGTCAGTGACCACCCCATCATGGTTATCAGGGACCTTAAGCTCGTTCTTGTATAGTTCTTCTGTGTAATTTTGTCACCTCTTTTTAATCTCTTCTGCCTCTGTTAGGTCCCTCCCATCTTTTATCATGCCCATCTTTGCATGAAACGTTCCCTTCATATCTTCAATTTTCTTGAAGAGATCTCTGGTCCTCCCTATTCTATTGCTTTCTTCTATTTCTTTGTACTGTTCATTTAAGAATGCATTCTTCTAGCTATTCTCTGGAATTCTGCATTCAGCTGGATGTAACTTTTCCTTTCTCCCTTGCCTTTCACTTCCCTTCTTTCCTCAGCTATTTGCAAAGCTTCCTCAGACAGCCATTTTGCTTTCTTGCATTTCTTTTTCTTTGGGATGATTTTAGTTGCTACCTCTTGTACAATGTTGCGAACCTCGGTCCATAGTTCTTCAGCGACTCTGTCTATCAGATCTAATTCCTTAAATCTATTTGTCACCTCTACTGTATATTCATCAGAGATATGATTTAGTTCATACCTGGGTAGCCTAGTGCCTACTTTCCCTACTTTCTTCAATTTTAGCTTAAATTTTACAATGAGAAGCTCATGATCTGAGTCACAGTCAGCTCCTGGTCTTGTTTTTACTGAGGTCGCATCCTCCCATGTGAAATTCTCTGACGCTCTGATTGGTGGAGCATACAGGCTAGGCATTCTGGAACAAGGAGGGATTGATGAAAGACTGGATGGACTTGCACTGTGTGTGAAATGTCAGGGGATAGGCGACTGGGTTGATGACCACTTCAATGGGGAAAGGGTCAAGGTACCAGTGGTCTAACTTCTTGACTGGCCAGTCTGACAGAAGGTGATTGGTGGACAGCCATACCCAATCTGCCACAGCCAATGCAGGCATCTCTCGTTGAGACTGGTCTGCAACATTCTTATAATTAGCTTTGGCTTTATCCAGATACTGTTACACCAATTGATGGACAGCCTGTAACTTGGCCAGATAGCCGTTAGCCACCGGAACTGGTGAGTCAAATTGCGGGAGGGGAAAGAACCGAGGATGATACCCCACATTGGCCAAGAAAGGTGTCATCTGCGTGGAGGTGTGCTGTGTGTTGTTTAATGCAAATTCCACAACTGCCAGATAATCCGGCCAATTATCCTGCTTATGGTTCACAAAAAAGCACAGGTATTTCTCCAGGATCCTGATTACTTTCTCTGTCCCACTGTTGGTTTCTGGATGCTGCGCCAATGACAGGCAGATTTTCACGTCCAAGGCCGTCATCAACCCTTTCCAGAACTGGGCTGTAAATTGAGCCCCTGTGTCTGACACTACCCTATCAGGTAAGCTGTGCAGCCAGAAGACATGTTGGATGAAGTCCTGAAGACATGGCTGTTCCTGCAAGCACTGGGCCAAGTCTTTGAATAAGTACAACTCTGAAATTGTTTAAGTGAAGCTTTATGGAGATGAATGCTTTTCTTTGGCTGCTCTTTGTTTTGTTCTGAGTATTTAAATTTGTTGGAAACCACCCAAAGTTGTTTTGAATGATATGGGCATAGAAATTGAATGAATAAATGAATAAACAAATAAATACAATTTCTCAATCCTTTTATTCTTTACCAAACCTTTTCAGCAGGATTTCCATGCTCCATTTCCTGAATTTTTGAAAGCACTTTTTTTTCTTCAGATACAATGCAGCTTTCTATTTCAGTAAGGGCACAAGGTTCCCTTATTAGATAAATAAGGCTTGGGTCCTCTTTATCTAATATGCCATGATCCTGAGTAACCTACAAAACAACAACAATAAAATAAAATAAACCATAAACACATAGCAAACTCTCACCACACCAAAAGCAAACACTCCCTGATACATCCACATTCAATTTCACTGGGCTCCAGCTTCTCTGTACCCTAAAGCTTGTCAGAGGAATCCTCTCTTCAAGACTTTCCAAGAGGCTGCAAATGTGGGGTCCTGCCAGATTGTAGGGAGAATGGTGCTCTATAGGGCATCGTGTTGTGGCTTACCAGCGGCCAGCAGAGCTGGCAGCAGAGTCAGACAGTGAGGAGGTTGGGAAGGAACTTAGGCCAGTCCTGGGGGCTGGGGAAAGCTCGGACGAGAGCTCTGTGTCAGAGGCAGAGAGGGAGTTAGACAGCAGTGAGGCAGAGGAACAGCTGGAGCCTGTTCCCAGTGTAGGCATGCATAGAAGTACCAGAACACAAAGACAACTCAGAAAGCAGGGAGTAAAGCCACACCTTGGAGGTGATTGGCCCCTCCCATAGGAAATAAAAGAGGAGCAAACAGGAAGTGGGCTTTTTCAGGAAAAAATGTGTTCGTTCTGTGACTCTGAGAGACTCTGTGCTGGGTTTTGCCTTGTACTGCCGTTGGAAACAAGTTACGTGGCAGCTTGCCAAACGAGATAAGGTGTGTTGAGAAATATTCCTTTGCAAAACTGTTTGGACAAACCTTGCTGACAATGAATGAACGTAATTCACAGTCGTGTAAAGAAAAGAGGTTCCGCTGAGATCAATTCCTGCCTCCTGCTTGATAAGGGAGCCTAGGTCAGAATACATAGCTGCTCTAGAGAATACATGGCTGCTCTAGAGAATGCATGTTTTTTAGGTCCCATTGGACGACAAAGAATAGGGACTGGGGGTGCACCTGCCCTGTTTAACCTAGGAGAATGGGCAGATACCCCTAGGGAGAGGCAGTCCTGCAAATAATCTGACTCTGTACCAAGCAGGTCTTCAAAAAGGATAACCAGGATCTTGAATTGCAACTACAAACCAGAAGCCAATGTAGCTCATAAGTTTCTTAGCTTTGTATCTAATATTTTTAACGTTTTAATATTAATTAAATTAAATTTAATTAATTTAATATTAATTGTAAGCCACCAACAGTAGCTTTGCAGAGTGACATGGGTGGTACGTCATTTAATGAATTTAATGAATAAATAAATAGCTCAGACAGCAGTGGTATAACACAGACAAATTGTGTAGCATCCAGTAGTGGACACACTACTGCATGCTGGATGGTCTTCAAGGGCAGGTCCATGTAGAATGTGTTACCATGCTCCAAACAGGAATCACCCAGGATGGGAACAAGGGCTTCCAGTGCTCTTAGGAAGACTAAACACTGCACACATCTAGCAGATCACAACAATGCTTGGAGCCTCTGCTGCTGTTTCCCCCAGCCAAAGTCCTGTGTATATCTTACCTCTTTGCTCAGGCTTGTGAGCTTCCAGAAGCTGCTCTCTGGTTTAGGACTAGCCAGGTATGGAAGACGAGAAGGGAAAAGGAAGGAAAAAGGAAAATGCCTTGCCTATGAACTTGCAAATTCCTGTTTGCTTTTCTGGTTTCTTTATTCATTTAGTCAGATCTGTTCATCATTTAAACTATGGTTTTTGATAGATTATCTTTGCCTGCACAAATATAGTCCTTGGCAAAAGACTGAACATAGATTTCAAATGTTTTTATTTCTGCTTAAAGTCAATCTATACTCTCTCTCCTCCCCCCATGTATATTTTCACAGGCACAGAGAGATTTTATTATCTATTTGTGTAACTACACAAATACGCTTGTGTAAACATTTCCATTTCTTTTTGTTCCTCTGTTGGATTGCTTTTCTTTTTATATATTGCTGTTTCATTCTTTTTGGGGTAGCTTTTTTTCCTCTGAAGTTTTGTACAACAATAAAGCTGGTCCAGGTGTGTCTTTCCAAGGAGAGAATTTCATAACATACAGTTATTTGTGTATTTGTTAATTTATTTGCAGCTATTTATATTCTGCCTAGCTCTTGCAACTTGAGCACTTTACAAAAGTTAAAGGCAAGAAACAGTCACATGAAAACATCTGGATCATGTGGTAATCATATGCTTCAAAAACCGAGCAGCTTGGTTGCCAAAATAATATTCAGGAAATCACAACATTATTCATTAAACAATCACTTAAATCAGTGATGGCTAATCTTTTTGCCATCACATGCCAGGAGTGGGGTGTGTGTGTATGTGTCATGCGCATGCATGCCCACACCCATAATTCTATGTGCAGGGTCCCCGTGCATGCGTGTGCTCCCCCCTGCTCCTCCCTGCTCCTGGCACATGATGGCATGATGGGCCCAGTAGACCCGTTTTTCTCTCTCCCCAGGCTCCAGAGCCTTTCTAGGAGCTTGGGGAAGGTAAAAATGGCCTTCTCTACCTTCCTGGAGGCCCTCCAAAGGCCAGAAATGGCCCGTTTGCCAACTTCCAGTGGGCCAAGAAGCCCGAAAATCAGTGGGCTGGCGTGCGCTTGCACACTGGAGCTTGGGTGCCCACCGGTATGGCTACGCTTGCCACCTGTGGCACACATGCCATAGGTTCGCCATCACGGACTTAAATAGTCCAGGTTTATTATCCTTGCAAAATCTCAGTAAGAAAGCTGAAATGCTTTGGTAGAGCCTTGGTAGTACAGGGGTTTAAGGCACCCTGTTATTAAGCTTATTAAGACCAGCTGCCTGCAATTACTGCAGGGTTCGAATCTCGCCAAGGCTCAAGGTTGACTCAGCCTTCCATCCTTTTTAAGGTAGGTGAAATGAGGACCCAGTTTGTGGGGGCAATAAGCTGACTTTGTATAAATATACAAAAGTATGAAGGCTATTGCTGAGCACATTGTAAGCCGCCCTGAGTCTTCGGAGAAGGGCGGCATATAAATCAAATTAAAAAAAAAAAATGGCACCAGTAAGAAAATGTACTGCTGTACCCAAGCAGACACACAGCATAAAAGTGTTAGGACAAATGGAACTGTTAAATATTTAAGCCTAATGGAAAGATGTGTAGAGAAGAAATAACACCAGAATGGTGATGTCAATCATGTAAAAAATTCATGCAGTTTTGAATGCTGACAAGTCCACATGTACCATAATTAAGAATCTCAGGCATAAAATTGAAAATCCGGGTGCATCAAAAAATCAGGAACTAAAGACTCAAAAGTGGATGATCTGCATTCATAGACTATAGCTTTAAATTGGTCTACAATTGTCCTCATCCACCTATAAGAAGTTAATTATAGATCTTATGTGCATAGGTGAGTAAACATATACAGTATAGTTTGGAGGAAAACTCTAATTTTTTTAACAGGAAATCTTCATAAAGTATAAATTCAGCCACTGTCACTTATTGCTGAAATACACTTACACTATTGATTGCTATTTATCTTTAACATGATGACGTTATATCATATGGAAAGAAGAATCTTTGCGACATCCCCAGGATATATTATGAATGATAAACAAATCTTCATAGGCAGAAACAATGCTACTGGGCATATGAATATTCACTAACTTTACAGATCAATGGGAAGAAGAAAACCTAGATACATAAATCTGAAAAATGTGATTTTTTTTTTTGCTTTTTAGAGTATTGCCCTAAAGTAGCATATCTCTACATCCATCCCATTGTCAGCCTCGGTGTTTTTATTGCCTTGAGAAGAACAAATCATATTCCTGAAAAAGGAATCCTGAACTCATGTCCCTCTAATACTAATGGCCTCAGTGCAGCAGCTGAAAAATGTGTTTCATTATCTGGTCACTAAGAGTCGACAATGACTTGATAGAACATCATTGCTCTCTCTCTCCCTCCCTCCCACCCTCCTGCTGGCTGCAGTAAATAAAAGCAGTATTAGAAGAAAGGCAGGCAAGCAAGCGGTTTCTGTCCTTGAAGGACTCACAGGCAGTCTTAGATCAGTGCTATGGAGAATGAATGAGACAAAGATTCATTTCTACAACATCATACTATAAGGGGTTATAATTCTGCTAAGGAGTTGCCTGAGATACCCCTATGCTACAGCCATTGCTACACTAGGGTTTTAAGGGGAACATCCAGTATTTTGAATTAGGCCCAAAAGTCTGTTGGTAGCTAATGCAGCAACTGTACAATGGATGGTCTTATGTACAAATAGGATTGTCCTTTCAATCATATTCAAAATTAAATACATTTTAATATTTACATTATGATTAGCAATAGCACTTATTTTTTTATTTTTTTTTTAAATTTGATTTATATGCCGCCCTTCTCCGAAGACTCAGGGCGGCTTACAATGTGCTCAGCAATAGCCTTCATCCTTTTGTATATTTATACAAAGTCAGCTTATTGCCCCCACAAACTGGGTCCTCATTTCACCTACCTTAGAAAGGATGGAAGGCTGAGTCAACCTTGAGCCTTGGCGAGATTCGAACCCTGCAGTAATTGCAGGCAGCTGGTCTTAATAACCAGCTTAATAACAGGGTGCCTTAAATCCCTGTACTACCAAGGCTCTTTTTAGACTTTAGACTTATATACTGCTTTGTAGTGCTTTACAGCCTTCTCTAAGCAGTTTACAGAATCAGCATAGAGTCAGCATATTGCCCCCCACTCCAAAAAAATCTGGGTCCTCATTTTACTGACCTCAGAAGGATGGGTCAACCTTGAGCCGGTCAGGTTTGAACTCCTAGCAATGGGCAGAGTTAGACTGCAATATTGTATTTTAACCACTGTGCCACCACGGCTCTTAAATATAGGTTACAGCCTGGACCTCACTTACAGATGTTAGTTAGATTGTTTTGTAAATGTATTTTAACTTTGTATTAAACTTTATTTTATCATCTACTAAAATAGAGTGTGAGGGGTCATTGGTGCTCTCTGAGCTTGTTTGTTTTCTTGCAGACATTTCATTGCCCTAAACTAGGTAACATAATCAGTGCTAATCCTGAGGTACAAATAGTCTTCTTTATTGATAAAATAGAGTGTATAGCAGGGGTGAAATCCAGCAGGTTCTG